CCTTGTAGCACCCATGCCTCAGCCCTCCCAGAACGGCCTCCCCGGCTCCACTCGTCTCCCGTGGATTTCCCTGTAACCTCAGCAACTCCCTCCCTGCACCCTCAGCCTCACATTCCCATCCTCCCATGTCTGTGGTCTCCCAACTCCGGAGGTTTGCTTTCAGATCTGGTTGTATTCCCTGGGTTCTGTTTTATTTTGTGTTTCCTCACACCAAAGGGGGAACCTTTCCCCAATGCCTCAGGCTGGGCTTGGCCTCAGTGACCACCACCCCCAAGCCCAGAAAGACATCCCCCCATCCCACCCTTGAGCCCCATTTTCTTCTGTCCACAGCCTCCCGGCAAGACCCCAACACTCTCCACTGGGAATTGGGGGGGAACTTGGATCCCCCATTTTGGCCTCCTCTGTCCTGCCCTGTCCCACATGGCCTTGTTTGGAAAGTAGGTACAGCCTAGCTTGGGTTCTTCTCTCCCTGGCCATCCATCCATCTGTCTGTCCATTTGACATCCCCCATACTCTCCACTCTCCCCTGGGCCTCACAGCCTCTGGGACAGCTTGCCCTTGGCAGAACCTGTAGCCCACCCTGGCACTACCCCTTACCCCTCCCAATAGTGTTTGCGGTTTGCAAAGTCCACAGACCCAAGAACGGAAGGGGACTGGTGACATGATGCTGGGCCTGAGCCGCCTGCCCAGGGCTCTTCCCCGCCCCTCCTGCACTCTTCTTGGACCCTACCTTGTGTATCCCATCAGCCCTACTCCACTCCCTTCCTGCCCTTCACCAGCCCCCTGGACCCCAGGGTCTAAGGAAAGGAGCTTTGGTTTCCCCTAAGCATCCTTGAAGGGCCGAAGTCGTCAGGGCCTGGCCACCTTGTCACTCTCCATTCTGATACCACTCAAACTGCTCCCATGAAAAGGAACCTCAGCCAGGAGTCTGGAGACCTGGCCCAGGAGATGTCTTAACTTCTCTGTGTTTGTCTGGTTGTATGATTTTATGATAAGCACCAGGATGGTCCTTAGGGCCCCAGAGCACCCCTCATGTTTTGGAGTCCTGCATCACCATCCTCTCTCCACTGGGCCCTGGTATCCTGGCTCCTCTCTCAGCTCCGCCGCTGATCTCTGTGCCTTAGTTTACTTCTCCGCACAGGGGGCTCACCACAAGTCTGTGCCCAGCAGCTTCCCAGATATCTTGGTGCCTCTAAGGCAGGGCCTTGCCAGCTGTGGCCCAGCTCCCGGGCACTGTCTTGGGGCACCAGGTTGCTGAGGATGTTGCCTGGAGGTTCTCAAAGAAGCGGGAGCAACACCTGGGCACTTGATAGACATGCAAAGTATTGGGCCCACTCAAGACCTATGGAACAGAACCTTGGGTGGGGGCGGGGGTGGCCAGCAAGCTGGGGGGTTTAACAAGCCCTCCAGGTGATTCTGATATACACAGGAGTTTGCCACCTGCTGACCTAGACCAGCAAATAGTGTGGCCTGGTGAGGGACTGAGGCTGGCCCTGACCAGGAACAGGAAACACCAACCTCATCTGGACTCCTGAGAGATTGCGAACCCTCCCTGCCCCTACCCAAAGCAAAACAAAACTATGTTCTCCTCTTCCTGGAAACTGGAGGGCTGGCAGAAGGCATACGTTTTTCCTTTCCCTGCCCCTGGCTTGGTTCCAGTCCTACCCACTTCTCCTACTTGTCTGGGTTTTACAAGAGATTGTGTAGGGTTGTGCCAGCTGGGCAGCAGGTGGGCATCCTGGGGTGGGGGGGGGCGGGAGACAAAAGACCGTGAGACCGTTTATCCCTTGGAAACCTCACCATAGGCTTATGGCTTCTCTTCAAATGGAAAGAAACAACTCCTCAAAGGAAGACTCCTAAATCCCCAGCCAGCTCCTTCTCCTCTCACCTCTCACCTCTAGGGACACCTTGTAGACAAGGCCAAAAAGCAGCTCCAACCCCCAGCGGCTGGGGAAGAGAGCCAGAAGCTGTCCCTCCTCCTCCTCCTGGCCTCCCTCCCCAAACCCCACCAATACTGTGAAGCCCCCTTTCTGACCATCCTGGTTTCCTGGTGTGGACCCTGCAGCTGTGGGCCCTAAGGGTTCCCCAGGGAAAGGCCTTTGGGAGGGAAGGGACTAAGGGCATCCTTGGGCCAAACTGTCCACCTCTCCTGTCCGCTGTTTCTCCTCCCCACTCCTGTCTTCAGAAGGCTCTTTCCCAGGATGGATTGGGTGCTAGGACAACCATGGTCCAATCCGCCAGCTCTCCTTGCCCCCGTGTCTTATTTCAGACATGAGAATAACTGTACAGTGTAAACTTACAAAGCGTTTTTAATGGTTGTAGATTGGAAATAAAGTATGTCATATGAACAGTTTCCATGGACTTGGCCTCTTCTCTGATTTCTCATTTTGGGTGGGTGGGGTGCTCAGCAGATTTAAAACTTGACTCTACCCCACACCCAGCTGCCTGGGAAGGAAGGAGCCCTGGGAATGCCACAGCCAGCTGGCTGGTTTGGGGGTCACTTGGGAGGAGCCACCAGGGGTTCCTGGCTACTGACTGCTGACACCTCAGAGTCTCCCATGAAGGGTGGTATGACCACTGAGAAATAAATGCAGAGTCATCAAAAATGGAATTGAGGGAATTCCCTGGAGCTCCATTGGTTAGGACTCCGCACATCCACTGCAGGGGGCATGGGTTTGAATCCCTGGTCAGGGAACTAGGTCAGGGAACACTGCAAACCTCACAGTGTGGCCAAAAAAAAAAGGAATTGAAACTTTCTACAAAAGACTTTCAAAAATTTATCATAAAAAAGGACATGGATTAATTATCTATTACAGTGGAATTAATTATCCCCAAACGTTTATTATATCACAGATGCTGTGGGTCAGGAATTCGGGAGCTGAGTAGTTCTGACTCAGGGTCTCCTGAGGGTGCAGTCAAGTGTCAATCAGGCTGCAATCATGTGAAGGCGTGATTGGGGCTGGAAGATCCACAAGGTGGCTCACTCATGCCTGGCAAGTCAGTGTTGGCAAGAGACCTCAGTTCCTCCCCAGGTGGCCCTCTCCATATGGCTGCTTGAGCATCCTCACAACATGGCAGCTGGCTTCCCCCAGAGCAAGTGATATATGGAAAAAGAGGGTAGAAGCTACAATGTCTTTTATGACTAAGCCTTGAAAATCATACACTGTCATTTCTGCAGTATCTTATTGCTTATACAGATTAGCCCTATTCCTTGTGGGAGAGGATTATACAAGGGTATGAAGACCAGGAAGTGGGGAACATTAGGGGCCATCTTGGAAGCCAGCAACCACATGAAAATTATACAGATCTCTTCTTTTTTGAGGGCCTAACAATAGCCAGGCCTGTGCTAGGCATTGAGGATAACAATATATGGACCTGAAAAACAGGAAAGCAAATGTCAATGGCCAGGGGGAGCCCAGGGTGCTCAGGGAGCTGGGAGGAATCAGCAAAGGCTGCAGAGGGACATCTGAACTGATACCTAAGCTTGAGAGGACCAGATGAAGGAGATGGTGGTGTGTCGTAGGCAGGAGACGGAAAGGACATGTCCCAGGTGGAGGGAACGGCATGTGTGAAAGCCTAGGAGTAAGAAGAGCAGAACTGGGGAACGGAAAGAAGTCACTGGCGTGATGAAAGAGGCTGGGTCAGATCACAGAGGGCCTTAGGAGGGAAGGGGTGTCCACATCCTGTGGACAGTAGGGAGCCACATAAGAACTGAAAGCAGAGAAGGGACATAGAGGATGTACTGGGTCTGGATTCCATGAAGCAGTAGACCCACTGTGCCCCAGGAGGGCCAGTTCTGGCTGTGTTCTGTTCTTGGGATATTGACAAGCGAGTAGTAATTGAAGGAGCAGGGTGAGCAGAGAAGGAACGGGGCTCTAGAAAGTGATATTCAAGGAATAAAGAGCAAACCTCTGCTTTCAGATGTCTGTTGGTAGCCAACATGCTGGAACCACATGGTGGAAATTTCAGGAAGGCAGATTTCTGCCTACCACCAGAAAACTTTTCCAAGGACCACAGCTGCTATAGAAGGATGATCACAGTCACGTTCCAGCTGTTGCTCACCGACCCTTCTTTCAGTTTCTGTGGACTGCTTGTAATTCAACACTTGGAGGTTTCAGATCCCAAAGGACTGCACCTGCAAGGGGACATTCTGATGGCATCATGCTGGGTGCTGAAGCAGCAGTCTGCTATCTGGGAGCCCCCAAGCCAGCAAGGGATAGTGGACCAGGCACAGGTTGGGCTTCTGGGAGCACAGAAGGGGGATCTGCTTTTCAGCCTGGGGCCTCAGAGAAGGCTCTGAGAGAGATGAATCCTCAGCTGAGGCTTAAAATCGGAGAATTTTGCCAAGAACAAAAGGCTTGAAGGGCTTCCCAGGCAGAGGGAATGGCTTGAGCAAAGGAGTAGAAGCAATGGGGGATGACGAGAGGAGAGGCAAGCAGTTTGGGGAGGGGCTGGCCTGCAGTGAGTTTACAAAGGAGAGATCTTGAACTTTGCCAAGTATAGAAGGGACCACAAAGGGAGAATACGTGCTACAAAAGGACCGGAAAAAGTGTGAGAGTCATGATCCACATTTTCAGCGTTAAGAAGATAAAAGGAGGGGTGACCACGGCCTAGCGACGGAGCAGGTATCACTGCGCACCCGCTAATGCCCTGTATTCCTTTGGCAAGTACCTCCCTGGACCTCTGTTCCCCCTCTTAGAAAGGCTCTAGGCATACTGGGCGCAAAGGATACGCTGGTGTGATGGGACCCAGTTAGTGACTCCCTGGGCGTGGCGTAGCTGAGGAGGTGTAACATGGCAAAGTCTGGGCTGGAAAGAACTTGGACAAAGCGGGCGGGGCAACAAGAGTCTTGAACACCAGTTTGCGCATGCACCTTGAGTGAAGCCGGCGTTCTGCGTGTGCGCTTGCGCGAGCCGTGGAGGCCGCCGCCGGCGCATGCGCCCTCGGCTGGCGGGAGTTTCACCGGAGGCGGGGCTGGCGCGGGCGGCGGATCGCCAAATGGGCCCAGACCCGGAAGGAGCAGACGCTTTGGCGCAGGGCGTGCGGAGGTCTCCGGGGCCGCGGAGAGTGGCCTGCGGCCTTGTTTTTCGGGGACGGAGGCTTAGGGCTGGACGGGCGTCGCTCTGAGGTTAGGAAGTCGCAGACCTCTCCCTGTACGCGGCACCGCTTACCCGCGCACCATCCTCTTTGGGGCCGGACTCCTCGGCCCAGCCCAGACCCAACCCGTCGTCACCCCCGACAGCGGGGACTAGGGGGGCGCTGCAGCCACCTGCGGGTAAGAGGAGACCCGAGGCCGGGCTGCGCCTCTCGGTCGGGGCCTGTTTGCCGAGCCAGCGGTCTAAACTCCAGAACAGTGGTTGAAGGCTGGGGGTGGGTCTCAGGCCGGGGTTGGAATTTCGCCTCTGCTCCAGGCTGGCCGCACAACAAGTTTGGGCCAGGCTTTTGCCCCTCTGAACCTCAGTTCTATCTGCAACGTGGAATTGATGATGGTACTTACAGAACTGTGGAAAGGATTAAACGGGATAGTGATGCAAGTAAATTGTTTGCATACACACACAGGTCCTGGCATGTAATAAGCGCTTAGCGGGCGACAGTGATTGCTGCTATTATCCAGGCTTTCATCTGAGTGATACAGTCGTTACTGGGGCGATGTAGATCCTCGACCTACCCCTCGTTGTTCTGTTATCTTTGCCATGTTGTCCCGTCGCATATATTCATTTCTCTTTACTAAGCACCCCGCAACGCACCGATTTCTATTGGGGATGGGGGTGGGGGAAGCATAGACGATGTAGAGATGCCTCAGTCATGTCCCTGCCCTTTTCCAATCCGTTAGTTGTCTGTAACAGGCTCTAGAAATACAGTCTGGCCGGGGAGGCAGACATGTAAACGGACTTTACAGCCAGTGCTAGGGAGACCTAGGGGTGGAGCGGAGCAGCCAACTCTGTCAAAGAGAAGTGGTGTGAAAGCTTCACACTTGAGCTCGATTGGGAAGGATGAATAAGCTTTACAGGCAATGTGTGCAAAGAGTCAAAAGTGGTGCATGGAATGGGAGTGGCAGGAGAAAGCAGGAATGGGTACTAGTTAGGACTAGCTTCTGGAAGGTGTTGAGTACACTGGAGGAATCTCTGCTGCTGTCTAAAGAATGGATTGGAGGGAATTCCCCAGCGGTCCGATGGTTAGGACTCCGTGCTGTCACTGTGAGGGCCAGGGTTCAGTCCCTGGCGGGGGAACTAAGATCCCACAAACGGCGCGGCCAAAAGTAAAATAAATAAAATAAATAAGAATGGATTGGAGAGGAGCAATGCTGCATGTAGGAAAAACTAGTGGAGAGACTGTTAGATTCTTGAGGGAGGTGGGGGAGAGTGGTAGAAATTATGAGATCTGAACTAAATCGATAACCGGAAACGGGGAAGAGTTGTAGAGACTGTTGGAAGTAGAATGAACAGGCCTTTGGATCTTAGAATTAATCAAGGATAATGTGATTTTTTCATGTTTTGAAGACCATGTAGATCATAATGCCATCGACTGAATTATGCACTTAGACACTTGTTAAACACAAAATAATTGGGAAATGAGATGGGCTACATGTTAAGGTGAGTATTTCTAGAGATGAATTCTGTAGAAATTGAGAACAGGGGGTGATGAGCTGTGCAGATGTTCTCTGGAGGAGGTGGGTGAGGCGGGGTTGGACTGGGCCTTCTCAGGCAGGTAGAATTTCATGGGGCAAAGAGGGGCAGTTCAAAGAGATTAGAAAGCACAAGGCCGATTCTGGGGTAGTAAATCCCCGGCAAGACTGGGACTGAAATGTGGAGAACAGATCACCTCCTTTTCCTGTTTTCAGGGTTCTCCACCCAGGATGACTTCTAGATCAGAGACTGTAGAAGGTGAGTACTGTAGTGACATTCAGTACCTCTTGGGTTCAGGTTCCTGAGCTTTACCTAAATACTTTCCTGGCTCCTGGTGGACTTGAAAGCACTTACTCACGTATTTGCAAAGATGCTTCCTCAGTGTTTCCATGATCTGGGGCATACATTTCCTTTTTCCACTTTTTTGCACAGATACTTAGCTGTGATGGGATTGATTCTGTATTTTGACTTTTTTATAACAAGTGCTAGAAGAGGAACCAGTGGCATCTAAGACTCATGATCATCAATTGGAATCAGATCCCAACCCTGCGGAAGCGTGTGGTAATTCGTCCACCTCCCTGGAGATGACTGAAGACGTTTCAAAGAAACAGATTCACCTTGGCTCTAGCCCTAAAAAGGGGGAAAGTTGTGATCCCAGCCACCAGGAAGGACTTCAATCCAGGTCCCTTTATTTGTCCCCCAAAGAACAGTGTGCCCGTCATCAAGACAGGAGGCAATCCTGGCGGCGAGCAAGTATGAAAGAAACGAACCGGCGGAAGTCACTGCCTCCCTTTCATCAGGGCATCACAGGTGGGGTGCCATGTACATAAGACAATGGAGTTCCAGCTCAGATAAGAGGCAGTGAGGTATGGGAGACAGATAGACTTGACTTTGCTGCTTACTAGCTATGTGACTGAGCAAATCTCTCTGAGCTTCAGTTTCCTCATCTGTAGGAGTATCCTAAGGTTATAAGTACTGATGTCAAACACCTAGTAAGTATTCAGTATCATTGCTATTGATACCATGTTATTAGCTACCCACTGTAATCTATACCATGAACGGAAAATCTGATTTATGGTTGTTCAACACTCACCTCTGCTAAGTGAATGTTCAACATTCGCCTTTGCTAGAAGTAAAGATTTCTTCCTGTGGCTTTCGGCCTCATATCCTTAAGCAGAACAGAAGGTGGATGGGTCGCTACCTGATTTTAGGCTTTATAACTGAAAATATCTCAGAGGGAAGGACACATAAAAATACCTAGGGTAAAAACCTAGTTTTTTAGACATGCTGTATTTGAATGTGATTTGTATGAATTTATAATAATAGCATCTCAGTAAGCATTGAAGTACAAGATTTAATATGGAAAGTAACACATTTCAGGAAGACCTTACTAGCTGTGTGACCTTGAGCAGGTCCCTTAACCTCCTTTGCCTTACGGTCCTCATCAGTAAACAGGATGAAATAATACCTATTTTACGGGGTTGTGTGAGAATTAAATGAGTTGATATATAGCACAGTACTTGGCACATGGTAAAGAAATAGTTCAAGTGTTAAGCTGTGGTGATTATTTTAAAGACATCACCTCACTTCCAGATGGTCTCATGTTTAGAAGGAATTCTGGGTAAAAACAGCCATGTAGCATATCAGAAAATTGCCACCACAATTAGGCACATGCACTTTACTCCATGGACGTGCCAAGAAGCTTCAGTTTCCTAAGATTGCCCTAACCTGCATCTCTGTTCCAGAGCATGTGGGCCTAAAGTTCTGTGTAATAGAAAATTACTGATGCATAATAAGATTTGTTATCTCCTGGTCACTACCAGCCACTTGCCAAGTTTCTTTGGTTATAGGCAGAAGGTATCCAGTTTTTCATGACTAAAAGCAAGGAGAAGTAATCAAGAGAGGGCACAAAAGAACTTTAAAAACACAGCCAGCTGAAGCTGGAGGGCAAAAAGACATGTATCTCTCCCAATTCTCAAAGCAAATTTCCTTTGCTGTATAATAGTTGATGTTTTTAAATGAACATAATCGAAAAAACAGTATCTATGTCTTCTAGTTGTTTGAGGATTCAGTGGCATAATTATGTAAAATGCCCGTTCAGTTCTGGCTGACTCACTGTGTGACCTTGAGCAAGTTACCTATTACCTAACCTTTGTCAAATGGAGTTGATAAGATACTTGGGACTTCCCTGGCGGTCCAGTGGTTAAGACTCCGTGCTTCCACTGCAGGGGGCAGTGGTTTGATCCCTGGTCTCGGAAGATCCCACATGCCGGGCAGTGTGGGGAAAAAAATAAAAAAAGATTCACCCAGATAAGATACTTGCCTCAAGTTTTAATGAGGTGTGTATAGCATTTAATAAAATGCCTTTTAGATAGCAGGTGTTCAACAAATTACTATTAATGTATCATTAGGTCATTAAGGAGAGGCAGCATGGTATTAGTGGGAAAACAGGTTTTGGTGATGGACTTGGGGTTGAATTCTGGCTCCACCAGTCTCGGCTTCAAACAAGTTATATCCCCTCTGAGCTTCAATTTCCCCATCCGTAAAATGGAGCTCATAGTTTATAAGAAGATTCTTAAGACAGTGTATGTATGCATTCATTCATTCATTCATTCATGGCTGCTCCACAGAGCACGTGGGATCTTACTTCCCCGACCAGGGATCAAACCCGCGCCCCCTTCACTGGGAGCACGGAGTCTTTAGCCACTGGACTGCCAGGGAAGTCCCAAGACAGTATTTAAAGCACACTGCAGTGCCTGTCATAGAAATACTGAAATAATCCCACCTCCTTTCTTCAAATGGTGAATATAAAACATAAAAGGAGTTAAATTTTTTTTTACGTTCTACGTTGTTTATCAAGACAAGATTTTAATGTAGTACATAAAAGGTTCTTATAACTTTTCAAAGTTAGGATGCACAAATGGGTAAATGTCATTCTTTGGTGATCTTGAACAAATTAGATGTGACTATATATGAATTCTCCCTTTAATTAGAGAAGGCTGCTTGGGTTTTCTTAAGTTGGACTGCATCAAGGGGGAGGGAATTTTTCAGTTTTTTTTACTTTGCTAACTGTGTAAGTATCCATCTCCTTCAATGCGGTGATATTTTATGTTAGAGCTCTGCAGATCCATCAGTGTCAACATAGCAGAAAGCAAACGGCTGGGCTGTCTCCTGCTTTCCAGTTTCCAGGTGAGAGTCTCACGATTGGGAAATGCTTTCTTTTTCTTTTCTTTTCTTTTTTTTTTTTAAACTGTTAACTGTGACATCCCCAAAGAGAGATCAAATACTGTGTGATTTATCGGTAAAGGGTAAAAGATATTTCTCTCTAGTGGGATTAATTTAAAAGCCAGCTTTAATCCCAGGAGCTGATCTGTCTCTGGACTAGGCTCTACCAGTCCCATCGGTGCTGCTGTCGCTGAGCACTTAACAGTCAGATTTCCCCAATCTAGTATATTTTGCTCACTGGCAGCAAATGATGGGAATTTACAGTGAGTGGAGGTCAAATCTAAGTTTAAGCAGTCATTTGAGGTCTGACTGCATTCTAAGTTGGTGTTATATGGCTGACTGGTGATCACATCAGTTTAGATAAGCAAGTCATTTGTGTGAATTAAATGAGCATTGTTTTTCCTGAATCAAAAATCAAATCATATAGTCTAGGCAACAAAGAGTTTTTCCCTTACCTTTTGATTTTCTCATTTTGTTTTGTTTATATGAAAAATCTTAGGTGTAGAATTAAATCATGTTTACTCACATTTATTAAACATCATAAAATTACATGAACTCGGGACTGGCCTGGGAAATTTTGGTTGTACTGAAAATGCTTTTCTTTATTTAGTTCTCTGTTCAGAAACTTGAACCTTTCCTAAGGGGCACTGAGGGCTTCAGTCTTGAAAATTTTAGAGCCAAAGGTAAGTTACTAAGACTAGACAAGTGAGCTTTGACCTTGGTCTGTACCTTCTATGAAGGTCAATTGAAGCCCCATTCTCAGGATCCCCATTTACAGGAACTGCTGCCTCACAAAACCAGCTCCCCTCCTTTTTTGGGGAGTTGCATTAAAAAAATAAGAGTATATGTTTATGAAGTTCAGAAGGTCCAAAAGTGAAGAAAGTGAGCCTCTCTTCCACCGTGACCCCAATCACAGTTCTTTCCTCCCAGAGGCAACTGCAGTCACCAGCTTCTTGTGTATCCTCGCAGAAAGATTTATCGCATTTCTAAACATTTATCCATTGAAATCAAATGAGTAAACCACTCTACACTGTTCTTTACCTTGTGTTTTTTTTAACTTAATTTATCTTGCAGATAATTCTATATCACACTTATAGAGCCATCTTGACATTTTAGTAGCTCCGTGATACTCCATTTTATAAATGTACCATATTTGATTTAACCAGTTTTTTACTGATGGACTTTTAGAGTTGTTTTCAGTCTTCTACTGTTGCAATGAATGGATAATGAATACCTTTTTATACAAACCTTTTGGCACATATTCAAGTAAAAGTAAGATAAATTTCTAGATTGGAAATTAACTAGTGTAATTATACTGTAACTAAAAGTTTAGATTTTTTACTATTTAATTGGTGATAAAAGGTATTTTTTTGTACTTTTAATCTTTTCTTTTTCTTTTGAAGAGGATAATAATTTTTTCATATTTTTAGAGGAGAGCCATTTGTGCTTTATTTTCTGTGTATTGTCTGTCCATATCCTTTGTTCACTTTTAAAAATTGGGATATTGGCTCTTTTGTATTGATTTTGTAGGAACTCTTTATATATTAAGGAAATTAGCTGTTTGTGATGTAAGTTACAAATATTCTTTCCTGGAATCAGTTTTCAGCTTTCCAGAAAGTAGCTATTCTCCTTACAGTGTCATTACACAATCATCCAGGTCAGAAATACTCAGTGTTACCCACTTAAAAGACCTAGAAAATACATGAACTCAGACTTACTTGCCAGTTAAAGCTATTTATCTCAGAACTGCACTATCACCATAATTAAAGTAGATATGCCCAGGTTATTTTGATAGCTGTTTTAACCTATCTTTCCCCCTCTGCATTCCTCACCTGAATTTAATTGTGAACTCTTCCAAATTTAAGCAGAGACCTGTTTTTACCTTATGCCCATAATTCTTTATTTGTCTCCAACATTTCTCATTACACTCTTGCCCATTGCCTGACTTCCGTAATGTTCTTCCACCCAGTGCCAGCAGATCAAATCGCTTGAAAAGAATGAAATGTCCATGCAGATACATCTTTCTTTTTTTTTTTTTTTTGCGGTACACGGGCCTCTCACTGTTGTGGCCTCTCCCGTTGTGGAGCACAGGCTCCGGACACGCAGGCCCAGCGGCCGTGGCTCACGGGCCCAGCCGCTCCGCGGCATGTGGGATCTTCCCGGACTGGGGCACAAACCCGTGTCCCCTGCATCGGCAGGCGGACTCTCAACCGCTGCGCCACAAGGGAAGCCCCAGATACATCTTTTTAACTGCTTTTTTCACCAGTCAAGTGTAAAAAACACTATTATAAATGTTATAAAGAGGAGTTGTCTTTCATTTTATCTATACCTATCCAAAGAGAAAAGATAAAATCTTCCTGCATATTTTTACCACTTTTTTAAATGAGTGAGAATGTAACAGGGGACCGTAGAGCTGGGACCACATTAAGTACGTTATATCTTTGTCAGCAGCTCACTGTGAAAATTTGTATTCTCTTTATTTTATAACATAAAATTTTATTCTATTCTCTCTAGCATCTTCTCTTTCTGAAGAATTGAAACATTTTGCAGACAGACTGGAAAGTGATGGAACTCTACAAAAATGTTTTGAAGATTCAGAAGGGTAAGAGCAATTCCTCTTCTGTCCAAAATTATAATTGAATTAGGACTTTCTATTTATTTATTTTAAAAAAATTTTTTTTAATATTTATTTATTTGGCCACACTGGGTCTTAGTTGCGGCACGCGGGATCTTTGTTGCCGTGTGTGGATCTTCGTTGTGGCATGCAGGATCTAGTTCCCTGACCAGGGATCGAACCCGGGCCCCCTTCATTGGGGTTGCAGAGTCTTAGCCACTGGACCACCAGGGAAGTCCCTAAAAACTTTTTAATTAAAATATAGTTGATTTACAATGTTGTATTAGTTTCTGGTGTACAGCAAAGTGATTCAGTTACATATACATATATTCTTTTCCATTATGGTTTATTACAGGATATTGAATGTAGTTCCCTGTGCTATACAGTAGGACCTTGTTGTTTATCTATTTTATATACACTAGTTTGTATCTGCTAATCCCAAACTCCTAATTTATCTCTCCCCACCCCCTTTCCCCTTTGGTAACCATAAGTTTGTTTTATTTTTTCTTTTTTAAAGATTTTTACATTTATTATTTATTTTTTTTTATTTATTTTTGGCTGCGTTGGGTCTTAGTTGCAGCACGCAGGATCTTCGTTGAGGCATGCAGGATCTTTCATTGCCGCGTGTGGGTTTCTCTCTAATTGTGCAGGTTTTCTCTTCTCTAGTTGTGGTGCACAGGCTCCAGGGCGTGCAGGCTCAGTAGTTGTGGTGCGTGGGCTTAGTTGCCCTGCGGCATGTGGAATCTTAGTTCCCTGACAGGGATCAAACCCGCGTCCCCTGCATTGTAAGGCGGATTCTTTACCAATGGACCACCAGGGGAGTCCCCCATAAGTTTGTTTTCTGTCTGTGAGTCTGTTTCTGTTCTGTAAATAAGTCATTTGTGTTGTATTTTAGTTTCCATATATAAGTGATATCATATGGAATTTGTCTTTCTTTGTCTGACTTACTTAGTGTGATAATCTCTGGGTCCATCCATGTTGCTGCAAATAGCATTATTTCATTATTTTTTATGGCTGAGTAATACTGCATTGTGTGTGTGTGTGTGTGTGTGTGTGTGTGTGTATACACATGCCACATCTTTATTCATCTGTCGATGGACACTTAGGTTGGTTCCATGTCTTGGCTATTGTATAATACTGCTATGAACATTGGGATGCATGTATCTATTGGAATTAGAGTTTTCATCTTTTCTGGACATATGCCCAGGAGTGGGGTTGCTGGATCATATGGTAATTCTATTTTTAGTTTTCTAAGGAACCTCCATACTGTTCTGCATAGTAGCTGCACCAACTTACATTCCCACCAACAGTGTTAGGAGGGTTCCCCTTTTTCCACAGCATTTGTTATTTGTAGACTTTTTTTTCTCACCACGCGGCTTGTGGGATCTCAGTTCCCCAACCAGGAATTGAACCCAGGCCACGGCAGTGAAAATCTGGAATCCTAACCACTAGGAGACCAGGGAACTCCCTGTAGACTTTTTAATGATGGCCATTCTGATGGGTATGAGGTGATACTTCATTGTAGTTTTGATTTGCATTTCTCTAATAATTAGCGATGTTGAGCATCTTTTCATGTGCCTGTTGGCCATCTGTATGTCTTCCTTGGAGAAATAAAACTTTTTATTTTAATTAGACAGTTGTTCATGCACTCAACAAACGTTCATCTAGCATCTCCTATGTACCAGGCTCTTCTAGAAGTGGAGATAAATAGTGGTAAATAATCAAACAAGATCTCTCTTCATATACATTGTAATAGGAGAGACAGTCAAACAAATACATAGAAAATAATGATTTCAGATAGTGATAATCTAAGAAGTCAGTAAATATGAGAGTGACTTGAGGGGTGGGCACCTTTAGCTAGAGTGTTCAGAGAAGTCCTCTAGTGATTTGACCTTTGCACTGAGACCTATAAGACCTGGATGGTGAGAAGGAGCCAGCCATGGAAAGCTGAGAGGAAAAGTGCTCTTCAGATCTTCACTAGCCATGCAAGTTGGAGATAAATTTATGTTCTTTAGCTGTTGGCAAGCAAGAATATTAGGAGAAATTTTGCGGTCGCACCCCCAAACTGGTCGTTCCTCTTCAGGGGCAGCACCCACCCCTCTACCCACAGCCTGTAACACATCATGTAACTTGGGCTTACACTTTTGACTTCACAAAGGTCTACCTTTCTATGGATCCTTAGAATTAACATTACTATTCAGGAAATGAAAAACACTTTAGTTCAACATAGCTTCTCTTTTAATACAGTATATATATATATTTTTTCCATCAGCACTCCTTTATTGTTTTTCACTGTGCGTATCTTACCATGAGAGAATTACATTTGTCAGGCAGCACTGAAGCTATTTATTCCCTTCTTATTCCATTAATTAAACTATAATACAATCGCTTGGGTTGCCCATAACCAGTCGTTGGAAGATTAACATAGGATGCTATTCTTTTTTTTTTTTTTTTTTTTTTACTGTACGCGGACCTCTCACTGTTGTGGCCCCTCCCCCTGCGGAGCACAGGCTCCGGACGCGCAGGCTCAGCGGCCATGGCTCACGGGCACAGCCGCTCCGCGGCATGTGGGATCTTCCCGGACCGGGGCATGAACCCGTGTCTCATGCATCGGCAGGCGGACTCTCAACCACTGCGCCACCAGGGAAGCCCTAGGATGCTATTCTTTAGCTCATATTTGACCTCTGCGTGGTAATGAAACAGCAGTAAGGTTTATATCCCCATAACTTAATGCAGTATATTTAAGCCACAGGCTGCTGCATGTCAGCCAGAGGTGATAGAGGCTGTTTCTCACAGGCCTTGGTAGGAAAACACGAACGGTGACACAACTGATTTGCTTTTGCCAGGTAGAGTACCAAGTACATCTGCAAAATTTTGGCATTTTCAATGCCTCCTGCTTTTCCTTTAGGATTGATGGCCCTACAGAGCCGAGGCATTGGTTTAAGTAAAACATATCCAACCAGTAGCTTCAGTTTAAGTGGGAAGACAAGATGGTTATATGGAAAAGTATTGTTGGTTCTTAAAAGATATTAAGGTTTTGATTAGTGGGAAGGGAAGAGGCTAAAAAACGGCGTGAACAGAACTTTGGAGATTGAAACCCTCAGATGTTTGATGCTGAATGGCATTATATGAGACCAAATAGATAAAGGGTAATAGGAATCAAAGTTAATGAGCTGGACAGAACCAGAACCTTAAGTGAACCTTAAGTGCCAGGTTAAGGAGTTTTGGGTTTTCTTCTGAATGCAGTGGAGGGTCACAGAATTTTTAAGCAAGGAAAAAAATTAAAGGAATACTTTAAGAAAGGTTAATCTGGCTGTGTGCGAATTAGAATTGGTGAGAGAAATAGATGATGAAGAGACCCACTGAGAAAGCTGTTACCTGGTGCAAAAGTGAAATAGAGCCCAAGAATAAATATTTGTTGAAAGATAAATTCTGGGACTTCCCTAGTGGCACAGTGATTAAGAATCCGCCTGCTGGGCTTCCCTGGTGGCGCAGTGGTTGAGAGTTCGCCTGCCGATGCAGGGGACACGGGTTCGTGCCCCGGTCCAGGAAGATCCCACATGCCGCAGAGCGGCTGGGCCTGTGAGCCATGGCCGCTGAGCCTGCGCATCCGGAGCCTGTGCTCTGCAACGGGAGAGGCCACAACAGTGAGAGGCCCGCGTACCGCAAAAAAAAAAAAAAAAAAAGAATCCGCCTGCCAATGCAGGGGACACGGGTTCTAGCCCTGGTCCAGGAAGATCCCACACGCCGCGGAGCAACTAAGCTCGTGCACCACAACTACTGAGCCTGTGCTCTAGAGCCCGTGTGCCACAACTACTGAGCCCATGCGCCTAGAGCCCGTGCTGTGCAGCAAGAGAAGCCACCGCAGTGAGAAGCCCACACACCACAACAAAGCCCTTGCTCAGCGCTACTAGAGAAAGCCTGCATGCAGTAAGGAAGACCCAATGCAGCCAAAAAAAAATAAAGAAAACTTTTTAAATAAATAAATAAATTTAAATCTTCAGAAAAGTTTTTTTTTTTTTAAAGAAGGATAAATTCTGAACATGTTTTATTGCCATTAAAATTATGTAAGGTGTCCATAGCAAGTGCTCTTGGAAGGTTTGTGTTAATCTCATCATCCTGTCTGTATTCTAGAAGAGCACCAGATTTGTCTCTGGAAACATCAGTGGCTGAGATGAAGGAATATATAACAAAGTAAGTGAAAATGAGTGAACCTTTGTTGAAAAATCTAAATCCATCTGGGGAAAATAACTAAACCTGGGAAAAAGGAATAGTAAACATCCTGTTCAGTGTGTCAATACTAGTGTATCCCCACTGGAAGTTAGACAGCTGCACACTGGGATTTTATGGGCTGTACTGATGGCCAGTTTCATAGAATGGAGTCTAGAGACTAAAGATGTGGATTTGCTATTAAGAACTCATGTTTGATTTGATTAAATTAATAGCCTCTGAATTGGTCATGCTTTCTCATCCTTTTATGACCTTTTTATTCATATCTTAGGACCAGAGTAGACACCTAATACACTTATTGTTGCCCTGAGTGATTCAGAGTGAGATGATCAAAAATTAACTGAATTTTTTTCTGTTCCTATAGGTTTTCTTTAGAACGTCAGAGTTGGGATCAGCTCTTGCTGCGCTACCAGGTGGAGGCTGAAGAGATCATATCCAGGTTAGATCTGTGACAGGAAATAGGAAGCTTTAACCTTGTGGAATTTGATTTGAATTGATTTCAGTTCTCTTAGCACAAATTGAACGATGAACCCATTCTTAGAGGCCAATCAACTCATCAGATCTCTGTAATGTGTACATTAGCACTTTGTAAATGGAGAGTGAGGGGGAAGGGAAGGAAGAGTTGTCACTATTTTCAGTCAAAGAACAGAATTGCCTCTGTTCTGTGTCCTTGGCTGCCATTCCACATCCTGGGGGAGACAGGCACATTTCTGGCCTGTACCTGGCAACCTGGGGCTGGGCCAAGAACAGTATCAAGGGACTTCAATGAGCACATGGCCTTTGAGCTGCAGGTATGGGAGAGAACCCTGGCCAGGCCTTCATGGAGATACAGACATGAAATGGGTAATGGAAGATGAGGTGTAGGAGAGAGAGGATCTTTGTCTGGGTCTTGAAGGCATAAGAAAATGGGTAAGTTCTAGATTTTGATTTCATTTTACCATCCAAACCAGTGATTTTAAGCTTTTTTTCCCAAACAGAATCTTAGCTAGAAATGGAACTATAAAACATTAGCCAAAATAGTAATTGCAGAAGCGGCCTCTTAGAGACGTGCTTTGAGGAACACAGTTGGAGAAATGCCCCCAATCTCAGCATTGATGGTTATTAGTTACTTTCTTCACCCTTTAAATGTTCCATTTATGAAGATAGATAATGTATAAGATGGCAGTTTCAGAATAAAAACTTTTGATGGGGCATAGCTTAATAGTTAAGAAGAATGCTTCTGGAAGCAGACTGTCTCTATTCAAATCCTGACTACTCCTTACTTCTGTGACCTTGGGCGATCTGAAGTGCCTCATTTGAAAATGGGGATAATATTAGTTCATACCTCGTTGGGTTATTATGAGGGTTAAATAAGGTTGAATGGAAAGTGCTTAGCTGTGTCTGGCACCCAGTAAGCGCTCAGTACCTTGTAGTCGCTGTTACTAAAGCGTCATCGTCAGTTTTCATGAACTGTCCATTGTATTCAGTTTGTGGTTGGGGTTTTTTGGCCTCACACCGTGCAGCTTGCAAGATCTTAGTTCCCCAGCCAGGGATCAAGCCCACACCCTCGGCCATGAAAGCCGGGAGTCCTAACCACTGGACCTCGAGGGAATTCCCTATATTCAGTTACTTTAGATAATTGAAGTGGGCCAGCATCTCTTTGGTAAAAGATTATAGACGTTGACTTCAGGATAGCAGGCTTTGGCTTTACCCCAAGTGTAGTCCTTTTTGTAAATGGACCGTACTGTTAGGTGGAGTCAGCTAACCTTCTAGCATTTCCTGGAGTCCAGGGGTATAAAAATATTAATATTGGATAATGATCTCAGAATCTCCTGTTAGTTAGAGAGCCTGTACTTTCAGTACAGGGTGTAAGAATATTGATTGAGGTTAATAAAGCCTTCTAGGAGGTTTTTTCCCTAGGTAATCTTTACTGTTTTCCCCAGAAAATGATAGTAAAATTATTTGAAAGCTCTTTTGTTTTGTGTTTAGAGGATCAACTGAAACCAAAAATACTGAAGTTGAAGTGGAACCTACAGCATATCTTGGGTCTTCCCAGAGTGAAGTCCTTAATACAAAGCCTGACTACCAGAAAATATTACAGAACCAGAATAAAGTCTTTGATTGTATGGAGTTGGTGGTAAGTTGGGTCATGTTTCTTTTGTTGAGTTATCCAGCTTTGCTACCTTGTCATCCTTGGAAATTAAAAGACGTGGAGAATATGCGTAATTAGATGAGATAAGAGTATATTCAGCTCTACCTTGGGGAAACATGGAGAGACAGTGGAAGAGAAGAAACGAATAAATGGTGATAAGTGTTAATAAATCAGGTGGAAGGAGGGCTGTAGGTTGCTATATAGAGGGGTTGAAGGTCCTGCTAAGGTTCTACTTTAATAAGACTTGAAAGAAATGAGGAATGATCCATGAGGACATTTTGGAGAATAGTAGTGTTATCAACCCAAGTATTAACAGGAAGCACATGGCATTTGATATAGGATAATTCAAGGAGGGTCTGTTTACAGAGGGGCTAAGTACAAAAGTGTGGGTTTCAGGAAACCAAAAGTAATCTGGGGCTTAGAGGCAGCTGAGCTGTTACCTGTCGGCTGGAGGGAGGAACAGCTACTGTGGCGCCTGGCAGGGAGTCATATAGTGAGTGGGATGCTTTGAGAGAGCCATGACGTTCAGTTGAGAGACACAGCTAACTCGAGATGACCCTTCTGGAAGCAGGCCTGGGTAAAATACGCTGACCTCATTCAGCTCCCTCGCACCTGGCTCCCTCTCGGCCAAGCCCACCCAGAAACCAGAGGACATGGGATCTTGTTGGAGGTTGTGCAGGTCAGCCTGCTGGGGCACGGAGCGGTGTGGAGAAGAGTGGAGTGGGAAAGTCTGGCATAAGCATTCCAGGTTGAAAGAACAGCAGAAGCAAAGCTGAGCAGGAGCTCGCCTGACATGTTTGAGGAGCCTCAGAGACGCCTGGACCCTTACAACTGACAGCTGTCTTTTGTCTGCAGATGGACGAACTGCAAGGATCCATGAAGCAGCTGCACGCCTTTATGGAGGAAAGTACCCAGTGCCTCCAGAAGGTGTCAGTACAGCTCGGTAAGCCTGTCTTAAGGGGACCAGAGCTTGTACTGTTTTATGTCTCATAGCCCTTCGGATACACACCGCCCTTCAAAACATATGGTCTCAGAGGGCAAGGCCTATATCTGGTGGGGTTTCTTTTCCCCTCACAATAACTATTACGTTGTGGGTACTCAAAGTTGATGGGAGATTTGTAGATGTAAATTCCACAGACGCACAGGAGACTGAGAATTAAATCTCCACAAACTGTGTTGTTTGGGTAAATCCAAGACTTAAGAAACACCCATTCCTTTTTTCCCTTTTCATTCTTCAAGAATCCACTAAGTGACACCGACATTACTTATCCGTCACTTTTCCTGACCACCTCCAGCCCTAAATTATGTGCTATACATACCTTCATTTCATTATTCATTGGATGGTATTGTGGTTGTAGTTGCAGCTGGCTTTCCTACCAGACTGCCGTCTCGTAGAGGGCACATGCTCTCATTTGTTGTTGGAATGCCCTTCTGTGTGTCTGGCACAGTGTCCACACAGTAAGTTTTCAATAAATGGTATTTGAATTCAATTGAAGTTTATTTTGTGGCTCCTTTTCTCTGCAGGGAAGAGAAGCACGCAACAATTAGATCCTTCACCAGCTCGAAAACTGCTCAAGCTTCAGCTGCGGAAGCAACCTAGCACACGTTGCTCTAAATCTTGTCAGTGACCTTATGCAGCTTTTCTGCCACAGGACGCTCCAGAGGAGAGAAACAGGAAGAGTGCCCCAGTGCACGGCAACTGCACAACGGGCTAAGCTGTGACATCTGCCGTTGCCTTTGAAGATAACTGGCTGACTATAAAGCACTTCGATTTTTTTCTTAAAATGATGGAATTTATGCATCTGAAAGAATGTCATATAGAAACTTTTTCCACGAATGTGCAAAATGCTTGAGACTTCTGCTTTGGAATGACCTTCAGAACTAGTGGCCCATTCTTTTAAACGTCCTTTGTGATCAGAAACCTTCCTCTTGTGAAGATGTTTTTCAGGTTTTGAAACAACGCGAAGTCATTCAGGGCCGAATCCAACAAACATTTTAGGGGTCGTTCTGGTTGTAAAGGGAATGAGACTGATGCCTAGTGTGGCTTCGAAGGTGATTTTAGGTAGAGGAGTTGTGAGCATTGCTAGCATCGTGTGGATACATAAATCACATCACAACATGTCCAGATTGAAGGAGGTTCCACGCATTCTCTGTATCCTGATGTCTGTAGTGTGCTTTAGCTTTTAATATTGAGTCGACATCCTAAATCCTGGATTCATGGCAAGAAGGGGTTAAGTACCCCTTTTCATCGTTCTCCGTATTTGTTAATAATCTGCAGTATAAGATTGCGCATACTTAAAAGCTTTCCCTTGTCTCTGTGTATATTTTGAGTGTATAAAAAAATGAAAAGGCAGGGAAGGCTCAGCAGAAAATAGGATTCTTTGCCAGGATCTGGAAGTGAACCGTAGTGTGGAGATACGCCTCAGCATTAACTACCAGTAAAACACCAGCTAATTTATTGTTAGTGTCTCTTATTCTCTGATCCTCCTATTAGGACAAAATCCATTTCACGTAAATACCCAGTCATTATCCTAAGCCTTAAGACTTCAACTAAGCACCAGTTAGTGAGAGGTGATATCTCCTTGCTTTGACCTACATTCCTTATTCTTTCATAGATTTGCAGAGCCCCTGCTGTATGCCACACACAGTTGCAGGAACTGGGAAGAGAGCAAAGAACAAAAACAGACCTGGGACCTCCTTTCATGATGCTCACAGTCTAGTGGGGACAAGGGAACAAGAAGACACGGAACAAGAAGAGAGCCCTTTTCCACAGAAGTGATGTTTTAGTTAACTTGGGAAGGAGAAAGGAGTTAAATAGGGCAGTTATTTGAGGGAAAAGGAGCAGCATTTACAAAGGTCTGAGGGGAGAGAGAAAAGTGTAAGAGCCACGTGAGACAAAGATAATCGAAAGTCATTGGAAGGTTTTGAGAGAGAGAGAGAAAGGGTCAGAGCTTTATTTTTAAAAGATCAGGGACTTCCCTGGTGGTCCAGTGGTTAAGACTCTGCACTTCCACTGCAGGGGGCGTGGGTTCAGTCCCTGGTCAGGGAATTAAGATTTTGCATGCCAAACGGCAGCAGCCAAAAAAAATCACTCCAGTTGCTGTTTGGAGAACAGACAGAAGCAAGTATGTGTGGGTGTGAGAGACCAGTTGGGCTATTGTAGTCATCAGGTGGGGAATGACAACCTGTGCTGGGAGTTGGCAATGGATGAGTGGGGAGTCGTCCACAGTGTCTGGAACATAGCAGGCATGTCACCTACGTGTTACAAACGCCTAACTGCCACGTATTAACTGACTGAGAAAAAGTTATTTAACCTCTTATTTGTAAGACTGGGGGAATGATAGAATCTATATCACAGGGATGCTATAAGGGTTAGATTAAATAATGTAAGTTTAGAACAGTGGTATGAATATGATGGAGGGGGTGGGTAATAGAGCAGATAATGAGATGGGAAAGCTTGCAGTTCAGTTTGGGATGCCAAACATGTCACCTAGAACTGTTGGATATACAGGTGGAAAACTGAGTAGGAAAACCTGGACTAGAAATAAAATTTGGAAGTTACTGATACCCAGTTATTAAAGCCTTAAGAGTAGATAATACTGTCCAGAGTAGAGCAAGAAGGGAAACTGGACAGACCCGAGGAAAGCTTTTAAGAATCAGAGGAGTGGTGTGAATTGCCTACTCTCAGAAGCAGAATAGTATAGTGGAAAGAGTGTAGAATTTGGAGTGAATCTTCATCCTTATCCTCAATTTCCTTTCTGCGAAATGGGGAGAGATCACCTCTCTCCAAAGGTGATTGTACCTCCCCAGCCCCATTTTATCTACTGCATTGTATTACATCTTTTGTTGATAAGAATTTGTTTAAGCCCAAGGATAGGAAGTATGTTTTTGTGTCTTCAACAGCTATGCAAGATAGAGCACAGAAAAAGAATATTTAATAAGCTCTGAGTATTCTATACACATATAGACCACAACTTTATAAGATAACTTCTATTTCTGTCATTATAGATGAGGAACTCAGGCATGGAGGGGCTTAATAATCTAACCAAGAACAGATATATAGGAGTGGAGGGTCAACTAGACCCCATGTGGCACTCAGTAAATGTTAACAAATAAACACAAATCATAATAAAAGGCTGTGCTCAGTATTAGTTTTCCCTCTCCCCAAATTTGGTTCAGGAATTGCACTTGATGAATACTATAGACAGTTGCAGCCCTTTAGATGTTTGGTAATATTCTTCCGTTTGCCCTACTTTAGTTAAGAGAATACCTTGCCTTTAGTCAGTGATACTTAACACTAAAGAAATAATAGATCAAATTATAAGCTCTTTCAAGGAAGAGAGTATGTCCTGTACATTTTGGTGTTTTTTAAATTTGGGTGTAATTAAGCTTAATGTAATCATTCTGGGGGAAAAAAATTCCGTTTCTCATGTTGCACTCTAGAAAGGAGATGGTGTGGCTGGTGGCTGTAGTAGAGGTGATACAGTGGAGGACTAGGAATTAGAAGCCCTGTCTTGGATTCTAGTTTTTTTTTTTTTAACTTTTATTGGAGTAGAGTTGATTTACAATGTTGTGTTAGTTTCTCTGTACAGCACAGTGAATCAGTTATACATATACATATATACACTTTTTTAGATTCTTTTCCTATATAGGTCATTACAGAGTATTGCGTAGAGTTCCCTGTCCTATATCTAGTTCTTAAGTTACTGGTTCATTCACCAAAAACTTACTAAGCCCTTTCCTCATGCCAAACCCTGTGCTAGGTGCCATGTGACCTTGGGTACCTCTCAGGGCCCACGTCAAAGGAGGATGCTGTGCCTTGTAAAGTAGGGGTCCCTAACCCACAGGCTGTGGACCAGTACCGCCTGAACCATCCTCACCTCCCAGCCCCCCACCGTCCATGGAAAAAATTGTCTTCAATGAAACCGGTCCCTGGTACCTAAAAGGTTGGGGCCTGCTGCTGTAAAGAGCTCTTAGGGGCTTCCTAAGGATGCAACTCGGCAGAATGGGAGAAGCCAGCCAGACACAGCACTCAACTTCCCTCCCTCTGAGCAGTTCTAGTTTAAGGTTCTCCAGGGAGACTCCACAGCAAGAAAACTACAGTACTGCCCCCTTAACCAAGGGGGATACGTTCCAGGACCCCAGTGGATGCCTGAAACTGCAGACAGTACCAAACCCGATATGTGCTAAGTTTTTTCCTATATATACACACCTACAATAAAGTTAATTTATAAATTAGTCACATTAAGAGATTAACGGCAACAATAACAAAACAGAACAATCATAACAATATACTGTAATAAAAAAATTTTTTTTAATTCAAAAAAATTTTTGACTGCACCATGCGGCATGTGGGATCCTAGTTCCCCAACCAGGGATCGAACCTGTACCCCCTGCATTGAAAGTGTGGATTCTTAACCACTGGACTGCCAGGGAAGTCCCCTGTAATAAAATTTAGGTGAATGTGGTCTCACTCTCAAAATGTTGTATTGTCTTGTACTCACCCTTCTCACAGATGATATGAGATGATACAATCCCTATGTGATGAAGTGACATAGCATTAGGCTACTATTGACCTGACCATACATCAGAAGGAGGATCATGAAGCCATGATGATGTCAATGGTTGGACGTCATGAGCAGATGACGTTGATGGTTGGGGATCCACAATAGATAGTTGAAGGGTTCTTTGCTGAAAGCTTTTGGAAGAACATTGTAATTGGAGTTGCTGTCTCTTTAACTCATCACAGTGTTGCTGCAGAGTTTGTAACCCTTTGGTGATCATGAATGGCTACAGTGCTTCTTTTCATCTGAGGATCATATTCCATAATTTTGAAATTGATTGTGAAATTCGAAACACTTTGGCAAGTTTCAGTAATGTCCACATTGCTGATTCTGCTTCAGGTTCTTCACCTTCCTCTTCCTCTGTAGATGACTCCACAAGTTCTTCCAATAACTCGCTTGTTAACACTTCTCGGTGGCCTTCAGTATGTTCTTCCACTTCTCCATCAAGCATGTCGGCAAATTCTTCTCCACCAACTTGTCTTGCTACGTGAATGAGTTTCCTAACTTCTCCATCGAGCCTCAGTAAACTTTAAAATCATTCACGACTTCATAAGTTCTACCAACAGGCATTTACAGTTTCTGGTTTTAATTCCTTCACAGCAGCTTTGATGAATGTATTGTGTTGGCAATAGCGAATGATTTCCAGCACTGCTTTATGTCCAGATGAAAGTCTGCGTTCATTGCTGACTAAATGTGATCAAATATCAGGCAGGTGTACGTGGCCTTGACAAACCAAGTGATGCCTTGTCAAGTGGCTGAAGCAATGAGGTTGTATTTGAGGTAAAAATACAACTTTGACATTTTCATTTTCATAGCAGATTCAGGATGGCCAGGTGCATTGTCTATTAGTAATAGTATTTTAAATTCCAACCCTTCCTTTTCCAAATGTTTTTCACTTCTGGAAAGAAGCATTGGTGGAACCAGTTCATAAACACGATAACTTTCACCTGATTATGTTGTCAGACTATGGGCAGATAATTCCTGGTTTTGTTTCTGAGAGATTGTGGATGCTTCATTCTGTCCACAACTCCTCCCTTTAACATATGCCCTGCAGCGTTGCCAGTAGTAACACAGTTAATCTGTTCTTCCATGTTTTATGACCTGGTGCCTCCTTTGCACTTCTATGAAGGTAGATTTGTTGCCGAATGCACGTTTGTGTGCCTGACACACAATAAGGCCAAACAAACCCAAACGTCCGAGTTTGGAGCAGAGAAAGTTTTATTGCAAGGGCCAAACAAGGAGAATGGGTGGCTCATACTTATAAAAAAAAAAACAGAACTCCCAGATGGTTTTTGGTTCTATTGGGCACCTTCTTCCAGAAAAGCCCAGTTTCATCACATGAAGACTTGCTTTGGATGGTATCCTTTCTCTTCAACTCTGCTGGAAATGTGGCAACAGCTTCTGAAGCTGAATCCAGCCTCCGTACCCTGACACCAAATTAATTCTCAGAGACAGAGTTTTGGGTGAAGTAGAAAATAGCTTTATTGCTTTTCCAGGCAAAGGGCCACAGTGGGCTAATGCCCTCAAAACTGTGTATCTCAACCTGGAGGGGGTAGTGAGAAGTTTTATAGTAATGGTTCAAGGAGGGCGTGATCAGCTCGTGGACAATCTTCTAAGTAGTTGGTGGTGAGGTAAGTGGGAGTCAGCATCATCAACCTTCTGGTTCCAACCAGTCTGGGGTCTGCACGCTTGTGGGCAGCATACAGTTGATTTCTCCCACCTGGTGGGGGTTTCAGTATCTGCAAGATAGCAGGTAACAAGATATTGTTACATATATCCCTTGAGTGCGAAACAGGACCCTGCCCCAAGGCTGCATTATTGTTGGTTTTGACTGTCCCTACCTTGTCTCAGCATCCCATCCCTTCCCTAATTAGTAACTGTTTGAATCTGCTTTTGCAACTCAGGAAGGCCCTGGAGGCCGAAAGAAGCCTATTTCCTGTAACCAAGAAATGGCGTGAGTGGGTGGGGGAATTCCCTGGCCGTCCAGTGGTTAGGACTCTGTGCTTTCACTGCCAGAGCCAGGGTTCAATCCCTGGTTGGGGAACTAAGATCCCTGCAAGCCGAGCAGTGTGGCCAAAAAAAGAAAAAAAGAAAAGAAATAGGGGACACAGAAAGGCTCTTGTGCCCAGGACCCCCACAGGGTCCTGCTCAGTATCACTTCTTCACTGGCAGACTCAGTCTCTCCGGCAATTTTTCTATTTTTCTGTCCAAAATACTCCTGAGTCTGTGTAACAATCCCTTATTTGCAGTAAATGGCTTGGTGTCACTCCCTTCAGAGGAGCCCTTGCTGAAGTCTTTATATAGGCTTGAAACTGAGCAGGACCCAGTGGGGCCCTCCTGGGTACAAAAGCCCCTCCATGTCACCGTTTCTTGTCTGTGGAAAGAGGCTTTGGTCTCCTAGGCCCAGGTGGAGGATGGTGACTGCATGCTGACCACAAGCAGTAGATCCCAAACTGGTTGGAACCAGAAAGTCCATGATTAAGATTCCTGAAACATCACCCTGTTACCTCACCACCAACCAATCAGAAGAAAGTTATGCACCCTGCAGCCCTCACCCCAAATGTTGCCTTTAAAATTTCTTCCTTGAAAGAGTTTGGGTCATTTGAGCACCAGTCCACTGTTCCTTGCTTGGCCCTGCAATGGATCTTTGTCTGCTCCAAACTCCAACGTTTTGGTTGGTTTGGCCTCACTGGGTGTCAGACACATGAACTTGGCTTTGACAATAGGCTCAGTGCTTTCTGGGGCAACACGTTGCTGTCAACAGAATATGTATTTTGTTCGTGTCTTCCACAAATTTAACGCCTTTTCACTCTCAAGCACTTTTTATGCACTGTGGCCCTAACTTTTGCAGTTTGAGGTACGAAAGCAAAGCTGGCACAGATTTTTTTCCTGCAGTTTCACAGAAAATTCATTCTTGCTGTAGATCTTAGCAACCTCAGCATACCCTTGTTTTTTTTTTTTTTTCCTTATTGAGAACTTTCACCTGTTCACCTAAAGGAAGCCCCTCACAGCTTCTCTTTCGCTTATCCACATCACTAGCCATACTACTCTTGCACTTTGGGGCCATTATTAAGTAAAGTAAGGGTTACTTGAACACAAACACTGCCGTATGCAGACAATCCATCTTTTGAGAGACCGTCACGAAATGATTAAGGGGGCAGGTAGCATATACAGCGTGGATATGCTGGACAAAGGAATGATTCACTTCCCCGGGGCAGGGAGCAGGACAAGAGATTTCGACACACTGCTCCGGACAGCACAGCAATTAAAAACTTACGAATTATTTACTTATTTTCCATTCAGTAGTTTCAGACCAGAGTCGGCCAAGCGGAACTGAAACCACGAAAAATCAGGCAAACTACTGTACACGGAAAATGGCGCCAGCTCAGCCACCATCTTCTCCGTAGGTCCCCGGGCGGGCGGGCACAGCGCATATGCGCCGCCTGGCGTCCTCAG